GGAGCCGCTGCGCCGGGAAGCACTGGCCGGCCGTCAGCTCCCGGGGCGGCTTCTCCAGGCGCTCGCAGGCATGCAGCCCGGGAGCAGGCGGCGCGCCCCGGGCGGCTCCTGAGCCGGCGGGGGCAGCGAGGACCAGCGCCAGCCGAGCCCGTCCCACCTCGCCCAGCGCCCCACGAGCTACTGCCCGGCACCCGGTCTTCGCGCGCAGCCCCGCCAGCGTCACCCCCCCGCGGGCTGCAGAGGCTCATGCAGCCGCCAAGGTAAGCGCGGGGCAGCCGGGCACCCACCCGGGTCCCCACACCCCCAAGGCGCCGCTGACACTGGCCAAAGCCTCCGCACTGATCTGCAGCTCCCCTAGCCCCGCGTCCCATCTCGCCCACATTTGGGGTTTGCCTCGCCCGGATCGCCTTCGCTCTTGGCAGCAGGAAAGTTTTTGTGGTTTGGTATTTGTTTCTTTTTTCCCCCTAAAATTCTGTCCCCGGGGCAGCTGGCATTGCGCGTGGCTGGGCAGACCTGGCGCACTTGCCACCCACTGGTACGGGCTAGGAGCTCCCTCTCCCCGACATGGCCACCCCTTCCTAAAGCGACAGCCCAGCCTGGCCCACCCAGCCCTGCCTGAGCTGACCACCAGGCTGTCCTGCCGTGAAGCATAGCTGGCTTCACCCAAACAGGGGCTTGGGGCGGGGGAAGGGGGGTGCTAGGTCAGCGCCTGCCCCGGGGGCGTCGACGTTGTGCACTGGCTATGCTCAATTGTGAGCGGCCCTGGCCTGGAGGCGTCCGGTGCGCGTGAAGGTGCAGGACCTGGGGTGAGTGCTAAGGGGTAGGATTCTTGGATGTCAGGCGAGGGGACTCAACTCCCGGCTAGAGCTATGGCTCTTTCCAGGGTATGAAGTGGAGAAGAGGGACAGGTGTATTGGGGAACCTGCACAGATGTGAAAGACTCCCAGATGCAACTCTTGATTGCATCTTACTAAAGTAATTGTATTAGATTTGCTCAGAGATAGAATCAATTTCCCCAAACTGGGGTTTTAATGGGCGCCTGAGCGCTGTTATTATGTGGTGTGGTTTCCGAAGGCGTTGGATTGTATTTATTTTATAAATTGGGTATCTTGCGGTGGGCGGATTAGGGGAAATTGCGCCATCTAGCGGAAATAGTGAGCTGTGCCTTAGGTAGCAAAGTTGGGTGTTCCCTAAATTAGGCGCCCCTGTAGGATATTTAGAGGCGGGAATTACCCTTCGTGGTCAGGAAAGACTAGTTTTCAGTGCCCCTGCCTTCCTCCGGAGCTGGAGCACCCTGACGCCCAGAGCCCAGCTCAAGGGACCAAGTGGAGAATTGTATGAGTGGCAGAATGTCACCTCAAGGATCTCCATCACCTGAGAAGTCTAGTTTTAGGATCTTCCCACAAAAACAAGATAAACTGTCACCTGCCTTAAGAAGATGACCTTTCTCCCAGGCATCTGGCCCATGGATCTGGCAAGCCACGTCACTGTTCCCTAGCACATCCATGTCTATATAAGTGATTTTTAAAGCTAATGTTAAGCCGTGAGCCCAAGAGAAGTGTTTGAGTATGTTCTGAAGGACAGCTGAGAAGGAGCCTCATGCCGCTCCACAGAAGTATAGTGTGCACATACCAGGAGAAGAATTTTTGCTGTTCCAGTACCACAGCAGGTGACAAGCAAGTCTGCTTTACTGGGACGTGATCTCCAATAAATAGCTGGGATGACAGACTGCTAGATGGCATGCTGATGGGACAAAGGCTCTGGGTGGGGCGCCCACACATGCAAGCGGGCTCCACATTCTCTGTGGCAGGTTTTTGCTGCCACCTTCCAGATGGATGATATTAGCAGGAAGTGCAGCAGCTCTCCCTATCTGAAGGGCACTTTGGCTCCTTGGAAAGCACTGTGGTTTTCTGCCTGTGATAAAGAGCAATTCCCTTCTAGAATCCTCTGGGTTGTGGTAATAGGTAGGGAGAGGCCAACCTCCAGGGATCTCCTTCTTCCCTTTCCTTGTTGTTGAGGCAGGACCTCATATATCCCAGGCTGGCTTACTCTCTTTGTAGCCAAAGATGACCTTGAACTTCTCATTCTCCTACCTTTACCTTCTGAGTGCTGGGGATCAAACTCAGGGCTTTCTGTGTGCTAGGCGAGTCTTCTGCCTACTAAACCACATCCCAGCCCCCAGTCTTTTTGTTTATTCCCCAAAGCCCTGCCCAGGTCTTTTCCTCCTCAGGTGACAGACTGGTGTTTTCACTCCTAATACACATGAGGACTAGTGAGTGGCTTGTCTGCCTGCCCCACCCCCAGCATTCTGTCTTATGTCTCTCCACTTGCACATATTTGTTTAATAACCAGACTCATGACAAAAGGGGTCTTAAACTAGCTTGGCATATTATTCAAAGACAACTCATCTGACTTTCACTGCTGCCTGAACAGTGTTTGGAATGATACAGAAAGAAGGCAGGGAAGCTCCTGTTTAATATGATCCTGTGTCTGCTCTTCCCAAGCACAAAATTAGTGGAATAGATACTACATCCCTGACACCAAGACAGGAAGTATTAAAGAGCTTTGCCAGATGCCCCTGCTCTTGGGAAGCAGGCAGTCACAGGTGTGACTATTTTCATATCCTGGAAGAGGAATCTGAAGGCCAAAGAGGTGAAAGGGTGTGGTCCAAAGTGCTGTTTTCTGCTACAGCCTTGCCAGTGAATTAATTAGGTTCAAGTACTTTTTAAAAATAAATATTTTATTATTTTTATTTTATATGTATGAGTGTATTGCCTGCATGGATGTGAGTGCACCTGTGTCATACAATGCAGTGGAGGTCAGAAGAGGGCTTCGGATTCCCCTAGAACTGGAGTTAAGGATGGTTCATAGCTACCATGTGGGTGCTGGGAGTCAAATCCAGGTCCTCTGAAAGAGCAGTCAGTGCTCTTAACTGCTGAGCCATCTCTCCAGCCCCTCAAGCACTTTTTTAAAACCAAATGTGGCTGCAGGGTTTGTTTGTTTTTTTTCCATGCCTTAAAGCATACAGTATAGACAAGGAGGCAAGTATGCTCCCCATCCCTTGAGATGCAGGTATATCCTCCATCCCTTGGGAAGTAGGCACCCAGAGAAAAAATATGAAGTGTACCCAAGTGAAACTGAGCAAAACCAGAGGAGAATTATTAGAAAATAGTGCAGGCTAATTAGAATCTGTTAATTCTGTGAAATGAATTAGGCAAAAACCCCTTTAAAAGGTATTGCTCAAATAGCATGTCTGCTTCTGTTTCTCTTGGGGTTCAAACTATTAGTTGTTTAGCCATTCAACAAATGTAACTAAGTTTAACCTGAAGAAGGGAGTTCCCAGCTTCTTTCCCTCCTGTCTGGTTTCCAGCCCTGCCTGAATACAGCTCTCTCTCTCTCTCTCTCTCTCTCTCTCTCTCTCTCTCTCTCTCTCCCCCTCTCCCTCTCCCTCTCCCCCCCTTTTTTTCAGACAGTGTCTCCCTGTAGCCACAGCTGGCCTGGAACTCACCATGTAGACCAGGCTGGCCTCAGTCTCACAGTGATCTTCCTGCCTTTGCCTCTGGAGTGCTGGGTTTCAATGTGTGTATCACCATGCCCAGCCTTCGCTTTCTCTTACTTTAAATAGCAACTCAATTCCATCCTCCCTTCTCTTAGCAGCAGATATAAAGGAGTAATGAACAGGGATGATGGAAAAAGTTAAAGACTGCCTCACCAAGCCTGAGTGCAATGCCAGGCAGACTTCAGTTTCCTTGGTGACCAATGAACATCTTTAGGATGTTAGCATTTTACCGGCAACTGCTTCACATTCACAAGGGTCAGAGGCAAGAAGCAGGAAGCCTAGTGAGGTATAAAACTTTCCAATTCTAAGGACAGGAAAAATAAGCAATTTTTAAATTTCGACAGAAATTGGCTACATAAATGCAAAAATCTTTTATTTAAAACATTTTAAAGTTCATGTTGACTGATGAATCTAAAAAGACACTCTCTGCCCAACTTGTAATTCCTACAAATAAAGAATGACTGCAGCAAGTACAGCTTATACTGAGGGTAAATACAGAATTGATTTACTGTACATTTTTCAATTGTTTCTTTAAAATGCTGCTGCCCAGATAAGAAGTTTCAAAAATAAAAATACTGCATTAGCCACTGTGAAAATCAGGGGAAATTTTTTAAATTAAAAGATTCTAAGGACTAGAGAAGAGATTCTGTGGTTAAAAGCACTGGCTGCTCCTGCAGACAGTTGTTCCACCTAACAACCATCCCTAACTCCAGTATGGGGATCCAGTGCCTTCTTTTGGCTTCTGTGAGCATTGCACACATGTGGTGCACTTATACACATAAGAATAAATAAATATTTGTTTTAAAGGTTCTAGCAAAACCAGGCCAGTTCCCTTGGAGTCTGTGTCTGTGTCCCTTGGATTCATGGGCCAAAGCTGAGACTGATAAATACAAGCAGAAAGCTCTAAGCTTTGTTGACTTGTATCTCATTAGGGCATGTTTCTTTGTCAAGGGCCCTCAGATCTCAAGTCCCTTGCAGGAGCTGGCCCAGCTGACAGCAATAGTTTGTCCTCCTAGCTGTTAAAGCCTTCTGCTCTTATCTCTGTACACAGAGCTTTTCTACCCAAGTCCTGCATGAGAGTTTCTGTACCATTATTTTCCTCTCAGCATGATTGTCTTCTGAAAGTGGCAAACAAGTGTTGATCATCCTCGGGCATTTTGAAGAATTTCTTCCTTGATGGCATCGTTAAACAGCTTTAGGTGGGAACATGCAAACACAGAGAGACTGACTCATGGTCACTTCCTAAACACTGTCAACACACGGCCAGTATTCTGCTGAAGGGCTCACTCTCCTGTTAGTCTCATACACAGTACCCAGCCTCTTTGTACTTGGTATGTCTCTTCCTTTTAGATGGTCTATTTATAAACCTTGAGGTGTTGCTTTCACTAAGTTTGATTCTGTCTGCCAGAGTTCAATGATCCACTTGGTCATGCTGGCTAATTTTCCCTTGCAGGGATACCCATTTTACCTGTTTAAATGCAAGCTCTCAAAAGGCTACTAGGCCATCTCACTAACTTTGAAATTCAACTCCCAGTATGCATTCTGCCCTTGACAGTGTCATCCTTGAAAATAGATTGCTTCTACAAAAACATATCCAGAGGACACTTGAAACTGCACGAGGCTTTTTCTGGTTGTCAGAAGAGCACACAGAAATGTATATTGCATTGACAGAACCATAAAAATGACACGGGTACACTCACA